ATATATATATATATATATAATTATTTATTTAAAAATATGATTCCATCGCTACATAAGAGTTCTCATGTTTCAAAACAAGAGCCGAAAATTTCAGTATGATTATTTGAATTAAATTGAATTAAGATACCAAGCTCCGTTCCACCTTCAAGCGAAATTTTTTTTGGAATAACTAATTCAAGAGATTTACGCGTTTTTATAAGCATACTCATTATTAAAATTAAAATTACTATGGTAACGGCTAGAGCAATTGTTTAAAGAAAAGGGGCGTAAGGGTTAATAATTTGTATCAATATCTCAGTTACATTCAAAGAGGTCAAGTCAGGGTAAGGTTGGGGTGTTCTTTCCTATTTTGTATATAGTTTCACACACACGCACACACATATATATATATATAGTTCTTTCCTATTTTGTATATATTTTCACACACACACACACACATATGTGTGTGTGTGTGTGAGTACATACATTAGTGATAAAAACGTGAATAACTGTTTATATATATATATATATATATATATATATATATATATATATATATTTGTGTTTGTGTGGGGGGAGAGAGAGAGAGGGGTTAGATAGAGAAAGAGAGAGAGACTGGAAAAGGTATTATGAATTCACAAAACACATTATCACGCTGTGCCACCTTGTATTTCCATATGTATATGTATATCTTACTTTCCTTAATGCTTATAACATTCCTATCTGATTCAATTAGATCTTCAATCAAATCAGGAAATTTCCTCTTGGATTTGATCACTCGATCAGCAAACATACATGTCCGACCAGAGGCAATGTCTGCAACGACAATAAACGTGTCCTTGGCCGTCATCTGCCAGCATCAACCAGGCGAAGTATTGCCATCTTCTGATTCTATTAAATCAAGTCAGTGGGTGGCCATCATTGATGGTGTATGCAATTGGCGTGGGTGGGTACATGTGCAGACGTCGGGGCGACGCTCCATTGGACAAACAGCCCCATTAGTCGTGTTTGGCCGACTCAGGAACAAGTGGTTAATATGCCGAAAGAAAACATAAATTGTATATTAGTAGTTTTGAAAAATGTTCTTTTTTATGTGCCATGTCCTTTAATGAGGTGGTTGATTATGGCTCTCCACAGCTTCTTTTCTTTTAGTTATCTAATAAGTGGGTTAATCACTGTTTCTCTTTATTTCTTTTCCCTTCCCTTTGTTAAATTCTCAAGGAAACATGACACAGTGGATAAAGATGTTGGTTAGATCCAGTGACAGGAGCCAAAGAGTAGTGAGTTCAATACCCGGTTAAGGCGATGGAGAACTTGGAGAGGGGAATTAACAGAGGGTAACTGATAACTGACATCCATTAGACATGGCACGTGGAACTAGAACAGTCTCCCCCAGCGAGCGAAATAAAGGGTTCAGTTCGACATTCCAACCACCTGAAGAAGGCCAGAGCGTACATCGGCCAAAACGTTGTGATAAATATGGCAACAAAGATGAGGACAATAGTCCGAATAATGTAAATAGTGTACATCATACCTCATCTCAGAAATATAGACTGATACTGAAAGGCTGAAATGTTGTAACAAATATGGCGACAAAGATGAGGACTTTAGTCCAAATAATGTAAATAGTGGGCATAATACCTCATCTCAGAAATATAGACAGATGTTAAATTCTCCATACCGTTTTTCCTCATTCATAAACTTCCGGTATCTCTCATAATTCTAAGTACCTTCTTCTTTTTCTACTTCTTTGTGCCATTCCCTTCAGGATATGGAGGATCATGGTTCTCCACAACTTCCTATCTTTTGTAGCTTTAAGTAAGCTTTATCATTTCACTATCCTTCCTAATGCATGTCCTTTCATCTGCTTATACAAATTCGTTAGGTATGTTGCTTGCTGCTTTTCCCTGTCTCTCTTGCCTTCCATATATCCTGTAAGTGTCAAATTCGCTAAACCCTCTTTCTTCATTATGTGTCCTAGAAATTTCAACTGTTTCTTTCTTATTCTACGTATAAGTGACCTTTTTGTTTCCATAAAAATTCCTCACTACTCACATGTTCAATCCATGGTATTCCCAGCATCCTTCTGTAGAACTACATTTAAATTGCCTCAAGTCTCGATTTGGGTAGACATTGTCCAGTATTCACTGCCATATAGGATGACGAATATTACCTTCAGCGCTCTTTTCTTTGTTTCTAACGAAATATTAGAATTTCGTATTAATTATACTTTAAAATATTTATATTTATTTATAGGGTTTTAAACATTCGCAGCCATTAGAATTTTTAAAAACATCTAGAATTGTTTTTTTTACAATGAGGGTCACCCTGTACAAGGCCGGAGAGCAACTCGAGGTAGAGGGTTACAGAGTAAGAGGCACAGTTTAAGTGGATATGTGGGGGAGATAACTGTAAACACTAGACTTGAACAGGTTATGATTGGAGTGGTCAGGGAAGTATCCTCTTGGGAGTCGGTTTAAGGGAAAAAGCTACTTGAGCGGAACTTGCATCTCACCAGTGGAATACGAAAGGAATGAGGGTGTTCACTATAATGGGCGTGGCATGGTGGGTCTTAACTGTGAAGCTTAGAAATTGTGGATCTAAGGAAAGTAGTTTGTCTGAAAACTTACCATGGAAATAGGGATAGTGTAGCGAGAGGTGTGCGACTTTTTGTCTGTGGGGAAAGAGGTTGCAGGGTGGAAAATAATTTTTACTCACAAGGATTCTATTGAAAGTAGATCTTGACGTCTGTGTAGCTCCTGCCTATATATGTCCACAGTACTCCGTTTTAGGCCTGATGTGGTTTTTGTAAGGGTAGGGGATAGTAGGAGGAGTCGGGTACTTACTAAAACGGTGCAGGGTAAAGATCATTTTTTTCCAGCACCTTTAGCGATGGATCGTATGTACGAGTTTTACTTGAGATCTGGGATCAATTTAAGTCTCAAATATGCGCTTAAGTCATGGATCCTCCCTGAGCGAACACCGGCCCATCGTGATTAGTGCAGGGTTTGATCAGCGATGATGCAATGTAACTAGTTTTTCGAGTCATTCAATGTAACCAGGCAGTTTTTCAGTCGCTGAAAGTAACTCTGGTAGTAATTACCGTAATTCCCCATGTATAATACGCATTTCTTTTCTAAAAAATAATAAGCAAAATCAGGGGTGCGTGTTATGCACAGTTACAAAAAAAAAAAATTAAAATTGTAAAATAAAATAAGAATTATCATAAAACTAAATTAGAATAATATTATTCTATGTTCAAAAACCATTTTTTAAATAAGAGTAGTAAACGCTGGCCATAATGAAATTGTAGAGGTACAATTTATAGGGTTTGATTATCAAACAAGGGGTGCGTATTATGCGTTAGTAGAAGCATTTTCCCACACTTCCAGCACAATTTCAGGAGTGCGTATTATGGATGAAGGCATATTATACATGGGGAATTACGGTATATGTTTTTAAAAGTTCGTTATCAATTATAAGATCCTAAAAATATTGCTATAAATTATTAGTATTATTTTAAAAAATTAAATTTAGAAATGTTTTAAAAATCCGGTATTCATCATAGGTTACAAAAAACGTCGTCTATTAGAAGTTCCTACATATAACTCATCAATTCCCACGGCCACAAGAATAGATATGTGGCCATTACTAGGTTTATATTAACTTTATTATAAAAACGGTATTGCCGAATCATCGACTTTTACAAGGAAATTCTTCTGGTTAATTGGTCGAAATATCGCGAGTTCGCAAATAGAAAATAATTCAGAGACTTTAACAGCAGGAAAATAATCTTATGTGCAGCTTCAAATAAATTCTTATTAATAAATTTATACATACTAAGTTAAAAAAAAAAAAGAGACGCATTTAATTTTCAAGAACATTACTTAAGACTATTTTCATTGTGAACAAGAGATAATGTTTCGTTTCTGTTCAGCTTATTTCAGTTTTTTTATCATTAAATCTGACAATGTTGAATGTTTTAGAATCAAATCATTGTAATGTGTTCGTAGCTAAATACTGTGTGTCACAAATATAATCACAGATGATTTCAATTCTTTTGGCACTGAATATTACGCATATAGTTTAGAATTCAGTAAACTCGCTATTGAATTTACGAATAATAAACTTACCTGTCTCTATTTCTGAGATGAGGTATTATGTACAATAAGATGTTCTCTTTGGACAGAAAACGGAAAATGCGTCACCGAAATCCGGACAGGCATACTACTATCAAAAATGCCTTCCAAAAGATAAGCAAAGTAATAAGAAACAGGAAGATTTCGTCTGGCACAAAGAACAGAGAGCAGAACTGCTTTGTAAATACAATCCACCCATGGAGAAGTGAACACGGGATAATATTCTCACAGATTACAAAAACATTGAGAAATATGGTTCTACAGAAGGATGCTGAGAATGCCATGGATGGAGCGCGTGAACGGAAAATAGAAACAAACACTTACAGTTACATCTAAGCAATTCAACTCTAAATTGACGAGACCTAGCTGCCAATCTAGTACTGCGCTTAAATTCATAAAGTCTCCGTGGTGAAGAGCGGATATTTACCAACCTCTCCACAAAGCTGGATGTGGCACAAGGCCTGTTTTTATGCGGAGTGATTCCGAGCCCGTAGTCTCGAGCAAAAATTCCCCGTAGACACGGGGTTGGGTTTGTCTACCTCCCCAGACGAGACACTGCCCGTAGGCATAGCCTCGTCTGGGTTTTTATCCGTCCGAAGACAGTGACTTCGACAAATCAGTTGCGAGCCTGGTAACGGACTGCCCGACTCAAAAAAGAGCGGTGAAGAGCTCACCCGAACACTTAACACGAAAGTATTGACAGAAAAGGACTTTCCCACGGCGGTGGGAAAGTGCGTGAAGCCGAGACGCCAGGTCAGGACCATTAATATTGCTGGTTCTTATCGTCTGCAGGCGTAGTTTTGTCACTCGGCCTCATCTAGAAGAGGATACAGCTAGTAAGTATTTATAATAAGCCTATCTTTGTATAAATACAATCTATCTATGTCTCGTCATATCTATCTACCAATCTACCTACCTATCTGTCTGTCACAGTCTCGTCATACCTGTCTATCTATCTACCTACCTATCTCTGTCTCGTAATATCTATCTATCTATCTAAATTTTGAGACTTATTTATCTATTCTCGTTATATTTATCTATCTCTCACAGTCTCGTCATATCTATATATCTATCACTGTCTCACCATATCTATCTCGTCATTATCTCTCTCTCTATCTATCTATCTATCGATCTCTGTCTCGTCATATCTATCTATCTATCTATCTATCTATCTATCTATCTATCTATCTATCTATCATTGTCTCGTCATATCTATCTATCTATCTATCTATCTATCTGTCTCTTTCTCGTCATATCTATCTATGTAAATCTCTTCAGACTTATCTATCTATTTATCTCTCACTGTCCCGTTATGTCGCTCTCTCTCTCTCTCTCTCTCTCTATCTATCTATCTATCTATCTATCTATCTATCAGTCTCGTCATAGCTATTATCTCATATCTATCTTGATACCTCTCTATCTTATCGTCTGCAGGCGTAGTTTTGTCACCCGGCCTCATCTAGAAGAGGATACAGCTGGTAAGTATTTATAATAAGCCTATCTTTGTATAAATACATCATATATACAATAAATTCAAAACTGCATTACACTAACAGACATTATTCTTTGATTATATTTCGCTTTCTCGTCAAGTTCGTCTGTATCGCTCTCACACCCACCCGATAAGTAGGTGTATACGTGTCTTCCTACCTATTTTCTGTTTGCTCAAACATGCTTTCATTTGCAAACACCTGGAAGTCGCTTATTTACCACCCGTACGCATACAGGCATGGATTTTTCAAGAGGAAATTCCGTCCATTTGGATATGAATATCTGTCTGGCGAACGCCAGTGTCGATTGGGCAAATGTCTAGATAAGGTCAGTTGGTCAAATAAACTAAGAAAAGAACTAAGTGATCTTTGACATTCGCCAAAGGATTTACAAGTGTCTCGGACAGGGACATCAAAGATCCTGCGAGTGTCAAATTCTCCAGACCAGCCTGCACGTGATATTTCCAAAATATTTCAGCTGGCTCTTTCTGATTCGAAAAGATGAGTGTAGTATAATCACAAAGCAGTTACCTAACTTGATGAAGATTGCTTCCCTTGAAAGAAAAACTCTCCCTGACTTAGATACTGTACAGTGTTCGATGGATAAATTGTCGTTTAAAATACGCAAAACAGAAAGCAACATTAACAAACTCATTTTAACAGCTATATTTACCAAAATTGCACAAAAATATCTTGAATATACTAAATAGTAACTTTATTCGATAAAATCACTGTTTGATTTCAACTACGGCCTTCAGACGACTTCAGAATCTCCTGCATTTCTTCTGGACAGTTTCCTTGTTTAAGTTGTTGAATGCTGCCATAATCCTTGCCTTCGGTTCATCTAAATTACGCAAAAGTGAAAATAACACTGGCATCTCATTTTAACAGATATATTTACCAAACTGACAGGTTCCTCTTCTTTTCCAGCTAGGCCATCTACAGGGTGCGATGGATAAATTGTCGTCTAAATGAGGCAAAAGCGAAAATGACACTGACATCTCATTTTAGCAGATATATTTACCAAAATTACACAAAAAATATCGTAAAATATTAAAGAGTAAATTTATATTCAATAAAATCACTGTTGGTTTCAACTACGGCCTTCAGACGACTTCTGAATCTCCTGCAACTCTTCTGGACGGTCTCCTTGTTTAAGTTGGTGAATGCTGCCATAATCCTTGCCTTCTGTTCATCTTTGGCGTTACAAGGAGTTTTGGTGGTTTCTCGTTCAACTGCACCTCCCACATGATAATCAAAGGGGTTACAATCTGGGGACTTATGTGGCCAGATTTAAGGAGTGATGTGGTTGCAGAAATTGCCTGACAGACATGACTGGGTTCTCTTGCTTGTGTGGTATGGTGCAGAGTCTTTCTGACAGATACAGGATCTTCCAGAAGACGCCCTCTTCATCCAGAACAGCACTCCCTCTTCAAGGCACTCGATGAAGATCTTTGTGTTGAGTCTTTGGCCTTCACCAACAAATTCGACAGTTCTTTTCTTATCAAAAAGATCCTATTGAGTTTTTCGAGCTCTCGTACCTTCGTAATGCATCACTAGACTCATGTGTCTCATTCTCAATCCTCTGCACCTTTCTCATATTGACACCCCAAAACTCTGAAATGTTTGTATTGGAGCTTCCGGTGTGAATGCCAAGTAGTACAGCATGCCGTTTTCAAATCTCTGTCAGAGTGAATTGCATCAGGGTGCTCTTTTTCTCACAGATGGTGCCCAACTGACCCTACGTGCAGCCGACAAAATAAAATAAAAAAACAAAAAACAACGCGCATGTGCGAATTTAAAAATATAATATAGCGGCAATTTACCCATCGCACCCTGTAAATTGGCGGCCTAGCCGCGCCTCCACATTCAATTTAATTACTTGTTTCCCCACCCGCGTCAGAAGTTAGTGATAAAGCAATACTATAGAAGAAATCAAATGAATGTTGATTTTTAAAACAGGTTGTAACAGAGAATCAGGTCAGCCCGATAAAAGAACGTTGACCAGATAAAGTTTCCTTTAGTTACAGCCTTTGCTACGGATTCATTCATGGCGTACAAACAGCTCATCGAGCGGTACCTACCGTAAGGCGAATTCGTGGATGCATATCTGGCCGAATTGAAGAAACTCGCGTTATATAGCTGTCCCAGTGCCAGACCCAGGCTTGGATAATACCTGCCCAGTATCGTTCATATGCAATTAGTCTGTGCCACCTACTCTTAAGTAGAAGTTTTTTTTTTCTCTCAACAGCCCATTGTGGAAGGGGAGGCAACTCCTGGAACTTACAGCACCACATACGACCAACACGGCATATCAACCTCAATGGGTTATTTAATGCCGACAACATTTTTTATTGCTGGTAATATTTTCTTTTGTCAAAAATCTGTTTCTGGTAATATTTTTCCTTCAAAATTGTATTGCTGGTAATATTTTTTTTCAAAAAAAGTATTGCTGGTAATAGTTAACTATTTGCCCATAGCTGGGACCCGAACAGGTGCTACCACCCTGTGTCAGGGAGGACCTGAGAATACCAGCAATTAAGAGCTGGTTCCACGCTCCTCAAAACCTTCTGATCAAAAGCCTTGCTGCTGGATGTAGTTTATCGTCTTATCCAGGACGCGGATGCAGTTTAACGTCTTACCCAGTCTGGAAGATTATAGCTTTTTAAAATTAACATATTCACCATCCTTTACTGTATAAATTCCGAAACGGTATTATTGCAACAGGGGCAGTTATAATCATTTGTGGTGTGTATATGCATGCAGCGAGGGTTCGTACTTGTCAGTTGTGGTTGAAAAGGTTTTAAAATGGCGGCTGTGACATATCCGACAAGTCTGTCTCTGGAAGACGACCCACTCCAAATGAAGAGCTTTTGAAAGAGATTATTGAATTAGATCCACATCAGTGAAGCAGAGAATAGGCGCAAAAACTTAATGTGATATGCTCAACTGTCCGGGAACATCTCAAGGCTAATGTAGCAATGAAAGTCACGTTTGTCGTCGGACAAAACGCCCACGTGTCGTCAATATTCTCTGCAGAAAGTAAAACTGCAAATTCTGCCTCAATTTCGTTGATAAAGAAATTGACATGGTATACAGAAGTGTTTTTTGACCACTGATGGGTGTCTCGGGTGATTTTATATGCCACTAGAGTTGAATGCCTAGGGGAACGTTTCCGAATCCCCATGCGAGTTGTCGACCGTTGATGGTTGTTTGGCGTTTGTGTATCGACCTTAGGTCTGCTGACGGCCATTGGTTTTTAAGTAACCCTTTGGTCTGTTGGTGTGTTTTTGAGCAGCCTTTTGTTATGGTGGTGTGTTTAGCGACCTCTCTGACGCTGTTGAGTTGACGTTTGTCTGGCAAGCGTTTGGCGAACGTGTAATGACTGTTGTCTTGCTGACAGTTTAGCGATCGTTGATGTGTTGGCGACAGTTAGTGCGTTAACGGCTACTTAGCGACCGTTTAGCGGCTGTTTTTGTGTTGGCGTCCGCTTAGCGACCGTTGTTGTTGATCGTTGGGTCTGTTGGCGACCGCTTAGCGACCGTTCGTATATTGTGGACCGTTGGTGTGTTGGCGACCGGCTAGTGACCGTTGGTGTGTTGGCGACCGTTGGTGTGTTGGCGACCGGCTAGCGACCGTTGGTGTGTTGGCGACCGCTTAGCGACCGTTGTTGTATTGAGTACCGTTGGTGTGTTGGCGACCGCTTAGCGACCGTTGGTGTGTTGGCGACCGCTTAGCGACCGTTGTTGTATTGTTGATCGTTGGTGTTGGCGACCGCTTAGCGACCGTTGGTATATTGGGGACCGTTGGTGTGTTGGCGACCGGCTAGCGACCGTTGGTGTGTTGGGGACCGCTTAGCGACCGTTGGTGTGTTGAGGTCCATTGGTGTGTTGGCGACCGTTTAGCGACCGTTGGTGTGTTGGGGTCCGTTGGTGTATTGGGGACCGTTGATGTAGTGGGGACCGCTTAGCGACAGTTTGTGTATTGGGGTCTGTTGGTGTATTGGCGGCCGTCTAACGACCGTTTAGCGACCGTTGGTGTATTGAGGATCGTTGATTGTTGTTGTTTTGGTAATTATTTAGCGAGCAGTTTAGCAATCGTTGATGCGTTGGCGACCGTTGGTGCGTTAGCAGCCGCTTAGTAACCGTTTAGCGTCTATTTGTATGTTGGTGACCGTTGGTGTTTTGGCTGCTTCTTAGCAACAGTTTAGTGGCCGTTGGTGTCCGTTGTTGACCGTTGTTGAGTTGCGACCGCTCGTGTGCTGGCGACCGCTTAGTGATCGTTGGTGTATTGGTGACCCTTAGTGAGTTTGCGACCGTTGGTGTGTTGGTGATTGTTTGGCAAGCGTTTAGCAACTGTTGGTATCTTGTTGACCGTTTACTCTCCGATAGTCTTTTAGTGTTGTTGAATTGGTGACTACTTGGCGACAAATTAGCGACCGATGGTGTGTTGGCAACCGTTTATTGACCATTTTTGTATTAACGAAATGTTGTTGTTTTGGTAACTATTGGGGTGTCGGTGATCATTTAGCTACTGTTGGTTTCTTCGAATTGGTGATTGTTTTAGTGAACGTTGGCCTTATAGCGACCGGCTAGCGGCCTTATGGTGCTGTGGCGGCTGCTCGCCGATCGTTGGTGTGTTGGCAACCGTTGATGTTTTGGCGAAAGTTATTGTGTTGACGGCAGTTTCGCATGCGTTTGTGTGTTGATGAACATTGTGTTGTGGATTCCGTGAATGGAATCCTGCACAAATAAATAAACGCCAGTAATTGAGATAGACACAGACTTGAAGTGAAGATTAGTAGTCCAGGAATGCGGGTTAGTAGAAAGTATATGTACAAATCCCTGTAAGTAAAGCCGTAATCACCTCTCTCTCTCTCTCTTTCTCTCTCTCTCTCTCTCTCGCTCTCTCTCTCTCTCTCTCTCTCTCTACTCTTTTATAACTCTCTGAGAAGACCCAGTGTCTGTCTCCGTATTTCTCAACGTATCTCAAGTTATCTCCACGTATCTCAATATTTAACATTCCACCCACGAGGAATATATGTGGCACAAGGCCTAGTTTAAAGTGGGTTTCTTCGAGCCCGTAGGCTCGGCCCAAAATATACCCTTTGAAACCGCCTAGACGGGTTCAGGGCCTGTCTACTTTCCCGGACGAAACCTTGCCCTTCGGCAAAGCTTCGTCCGGGTTCCTCTTTGCCAAAGCAGAGAGTTCGACAGACGTCGAGACTGTATTTCGACGTACCTCAACAGCAGGTATTCTCTCTGTCAGTATAAGTGTACTTTGGACAAGTCCATCTTATGTAAAAAGGGGAGCCCCACGACACATTGGTTTATTGGCTACTGTTTATCAAAAACGTTGAGTTGCTGATTGTGGTGGCGCCTTTGCTATGGCGACGGTTGGTGTGGGGGAGACCGTTTAGAGACTGTTAAGCGACCGTTGGTGAGTTGACGTCCATTTAGCCGAGGATTCACGACCGCTGATGTCACCGTTTAGCGAATGTTGATGTTTTGACGACCGTCGGCGACCGTTTAGTGACTATTTAGCGACCGTTGTTGGTTTGACGACCGATTCGCGATCGTTGGGGTTTCGGCGCTCGTTTGTTGACCGCTAGTGCATTGCCAGGCGCACGGATTCTTGCAGTTGCCCTCAAAAGAGAAACAGCTAATTTAGTAAACTTGCAAAGTTTTCCTCGTGAGCTTTCTTTTTTTTTTTTTTTTTTTGACAACCGAACATGAAGTTCAACAATCTGAACCTGTAACAATAAGATGCAACCTTTTTCAACCTCGTCCATACTCACCAGAACTAACACTGATATATTTTCATTTGATTAAACCAGAGGTTTTCGACCTTTTTGCTGGAGCGGAACCACAAGGAAACATTCAAGTGGCTCGAGGAACCCCTGCAATAAATTTATTGTTTTATGCAAAAAAAAAAAGCTTTCAATTATTAAAATAAAATAAAAATACCCATCTTCAGATTTATTTACAAAAAAGACAAAGAAAAACTGTAAAAATATTGTTTACGTACATATGCAATTTTAATCTTGCTTCTACGGTTATTTCACATGTATTAAAAAAACTTCAGTTTAAATGGATTACATTTATTTTCATTAAAACTTCAATGAGAAACTTGGACCTGATGTTTCCTGCACAAATCTTTAATATTGGGTCATGTTTTTGACAGGACGAAGTTCATCTTCCACAGACAGCAAATGTCCTCACTTCTTGCGCTTGATGGTTATCAGAGCTGAAAATCCAAATTCACACAAGTAGGATGTTAAAAATTGCATAAGAAGGCGCAGTGCTTTCTGGGTAATTGCAGGATATTCGTTTTCTTATTCCTACTATGCTGTTTTGTTATTGATTTAGTGGAGGTACCTAAACACACATATCTGCACAGGATGGACACCTCGACGTGGTGTAATGGTTAGAAAGCTTGTTTTGCTCGATCAATTACGACTGAGTAGTGAGTTCAATCCTCACTGGGTGCTCCATACTTTCGGCCTTGTGCCACATCTAAGCCGGGATTAGAAAATCACCATATCTGCACAGGAGAATTAAAAATTACTGTCAATCATAGTACTTGTGTAACTTCTTGTGGAACCGCTGGGCATTACTGGCGGAACGCTAGGGTTCCGCTGAACCCAGGTTGCACAAATGGAAAAATATCCAGATGAAAAGTTGGATAACACAGATCCCTTTAAACGTGGAATCGAAAATGTACCTTCCTGTTGTACTCTGTTAGGTACCTATTCTATTGTAATGGACTCTCCCATAGATAATAAGTAGGAGTAGCAGTGGCAAGTCTGGCAGAATGGCGACTCGCGGTCTCTGACTGCGCACGCCTCTGTCGAACTCTCTGCGTTAGCAGAGAGGAACCAGACAAGGCTTTGCCGAAGGGCAAGGTTTCGTCCGGGAGGTAGATAGGCCTGAACCCGTCTAATCGGCTTCAAAGGCTATTTTTTTGGCCGAGCCTACGGGCTCGGAGAAACCCTCCGGCCTTGTGCCATATTCGTTTCCCGTGGGTGAAATGATAAATACCGAATGGTGTTGAGCGGTCTCTGACTGCGCACGCCTTGTCGAACTCTCTGCGTTAGCAGAGAGGAACCCGACGAGGCTTTGCCGAAGGCAAAGGTTTCGTCCGGGGAGGTAGACAGGGCCTGAACCCGTCTAATCGGCTTCAAAGGCTATTTTTTTTTATTTTAGCCTACGGGCTCGGAGAAACCCAATAAAAAACGGCCTTGTGCCATATTCGTTTCCGTGGGTGAAATGATAAATACCGAATGGTGTTGAGCGGTCTCTGACTGCGCACGCCTCCTGTCGAACTCTCTGCGTTAGCAGAGAGGAACCCGACGAGGCTTTGCCGAAGGGCAAGGTTTCGTCCGGGAGGTAGATAGGGCCTGAACCCGTCTAATCGGCTTCGGGGAAAGCGCGGCCGAGCCTACCCGGGGGAAACCCACATAAAAACCGGCCTTGTGCCATATTCGTTTCCGTGGGTGAAATGATAAATACCGAATGGTGTTGAGCGGTCTCTGACTGCGCACGCCTCCTGTCGAACTCTCTGTGTTAGCAGAGGAACCCGGACGAAGCTTTGCCGAAGGGCAAGGTTTCGTCCGGGAGGTAGACAGGGCCTGAACCCGTCTAATCGGCTTCAAAGGCTATTTTTTTTGCCGAGCCTACGGGCTCGGAGAAACCCAAAAAAACCGGCCTTGTGCCATATTCGTTTCCGTGGGTGAAATGATAAATACCGAATGGTGTTGAGCGGTCTCTGACTGCGCACGCCTCCTGTCGAACTCTCTGCGTTAGTAGAGGAACCCGGACGAGGCTTTGCCGAAGGGCAAGGTTTCGTCCGGGGAGGTAGACAGGGCCTGAACCCGTCTAATCGGCTTCAAAAGGTTATATTTTTGGCCGAAGGGCAAGGTTTATCATTGCCTCGTTATATCTACTTATCAATGACTGTCTCATCAGATCCTATCTATCTATCTATCTATCTATCTATCTATCTATCTATGTCTCGTCATATCTATCTATCTATCTATCTATCTATCTAAATTTTGAGACTTATCTAACTATTCTCGTTATATTTATTTATCTTTCACAGTCTCGTCATATCTATATATCTATCACTGTCTCACCATATCTATCTCGTCATTATCTATCTCTCTATCTATCTATCGATCTCTGTCTCGTCATATCTATCTATCTATCTATCTATCTATCTATCTAACTATCTATCTATCTATCATTGTCTCGTCATATCTATCTATCTATCTATCTATCATTGTCTCGTCATATCTATCTATCTATCTATCTATCTATCTATCTATCTATCTGTCTCTTTCTCGTCATATCTATCTATGTAAATCTCTTCAGACTTATCTATCTATTTATCTCTCACTGTCCCGTCATGTCTCTCTCTCTCTCTATCTCTCTATCTATCTATCTATCTATCTATCTATCTATCTATCTATCTATCAGTCTCGTCATAGCTATTATCTCATATCTATCTTGATACCTCTCTATCTTATCGTCTGCAGGCGTAGTTTTGTCACCCGGCCTCATCTAGAAGAGGATACAGCTGGTAAGTATTTATAATAAGCCTATCTTTGTATAAATACATCATATATACACAATAAATTCAAAAACTGCATTACACTAACAGACATTATTCTTTGATTATATTTCGCTTTCTCGTCAAGTTCGTCTGTATCGCTCTCACACCCACCCGATAAGTAGGTGTATACGTGTGTCTTCCTACCTATTTTCTGTTTGCTCAAACATGCTTTCATTTGCAAACACCTGGGAAGTCGCTTATTTACCACCCGTACGCATACAGGCATGGATTTTTCAAGAGGAAATTCCGTCCATTTGGATATGAATATCTGTCTGAAGAACGCCAGTGTCGATTGGGCAAATGTCTCGATAAGGTCAGTTGGTCAAATAAACTAAGAAAAGAACTAAGTGATCTTTGACATTCGCCAAAGGATTTACAAGTGTCTCGGACAGGGACATCAAAGATATGACGTTCAAATCTGTACACGTCTCCTACTCACGTTTAGGTCAACATCAATGGCTTACAAAACGTTTAGTTGTTCACCGAGTGCAACATTTTAGGATATTAATCTATTGGAAGCTTCTTTCTTTAATCAACCACTGGCGATCAGAAAACTGTTCTTGTCCAATTTTACAGACAATCCTGACATCTTGAACGCAGTTCCCCCATTCAAAGGAATTTTGGATACATAAAATAACAACACCAGAAATGACACTTACATGTCTCCAGTTTTGTTTTTGCTTTTTCTTCACGATTTACATTATTCGGACTATTGTCCTCATCTTTGTCGCCATATTTGTTACAACGTTTCGGCCGTTGTACGCTCTGGCCTTCTTCAGGTGGTTGGAATGTCGAACTGAATTCTTTGTTTCGTTCGCTGGTGTAGACTATTCTAGTTCCACGTACCATGTTTAATGGACTTCAGTGATCAGTTATCTCCTGTTAATTCCCCTCTCCAAGTTCTCCACTGCCTTAACCAGGTATTGAACTCACACTCTTTGGGTCCTGTCACTGGATCTAACTAATGCCTTTATCCACTGTGCCACGTGTCCTTGAGTGGATAAAGGTATTGGGTAGATCCAGTGACAGGACCCAAAGTGTGTGAGTTCAATACCCAGTTAAGGCAGTGGAGAACTGTTATATAGCCTGACGTGGTAACCGAAATGCTCCTCTGTGGTTCAATCGGTAAAAGCACGTCAGGCTATATGACGGTTCCGTATAAGATACAGGTTCAATTCCTGTCGGAGGACGAATATTTTCTATGAAAATTTTTCTGACATTCAGGCCGGTAAATGTTGTTAATACTGTTTATGATATACAGAGCATTTACTTAAATATTTGTATGTATAAAAAGAACGTATAAACATAAAAATGTCTTTATACACACACACACTCACACACACACACACACACACATACATATATATATATATATATATATATATGCATGTTTCATTAAAAACGACACATAAGGTACTACGGTGTTAAGCTTTTTATTTAATTCTTCTTGTGTTCTAAAAAGAGCTTTCTTTTCTAGACAAAGGGTGTGTAAAAACTGTCCAAATGTTTTATATTTCCGAGCGCTTTCGGCTATACCTTTAGCCATTATCAAGGATGATTCGATTTTTCAGCTTAATTGAGTGTGTGCGTTCTGTGTATGTCTTAGTGTGTGGTAGGGATGTTTTTAATTTACGAATACAGTGAGCACATTGTGGCTTTGTTCGTAGTTAATATTGTTAAGAGTTGGCTTTTTCCTTTTTTTATTATTAAAGCTTCCATTATTTTTAGTCTTTCTTTGCAGGTGGATGCAGTTAATATATTTGTGTTTTCTACTAGTATGTTCCTAATGGAGTCTGGTAAATTTGTGTGTGTGTTTAAACGGGTTCTAATGGAGCTGTGATCAGATAGGTGTAACGTAAGACGTCTAGATAAGCATGTGGTTGTGTAACCGATGTAATTATATATATATATATAATGCATACTAGTCATAGTAAATTTCAAACTCTCACTCCGGGAAATGATAGACGTTGCCCTTAATTTGGTTTGTTGATGTGACTTTGCGTTAATACTTCTATCACCCTCCCTGGATTTATTGTTACCCATAAGTTCCACCTACTTCAGTCTTTGATTCATCGTCCTCATCTAAGAAATGTCTGTGAGAAGATGTCATTGACTGGGGAGTCCAATCGTGTGTAAGCTGGACATCAAAGAGAAAAAAAAACCCACATCTCCACCGTTATTGGCTTGCCAGAAACTACCCACGCAAATACAAGGCATGTACGGAAACTACCGATCTATTTAATATTAAGGTGGCGGTGGTGTGATAGCCTACCTAGGGCAATGTCTTTCCTTCATCGTCCTCAGCAAAAAACATCAGTTATCCCAGCGTCCTTTAAGGTTTTTTTTTTTAAAAAAAAAAACGGACAACAAATCCCTGTTTCGGGATCATCATCAGCCTCTTCATTACGCTTTCAATTGTTTCCTTATATGGGCATCGTAAGTATTAGCAAAACACTTGTCTCTAAGAAGGGCTACCCGTCTGTATAAAATTCCAGAACTTTTATCCAGAATTATCTGTAATCTTGGCAAAGTTATTTTAACAGCTGCTTAAAGAAAAATGTATCATTTGGCCGAGGAACATCTTACCGAACGGATATTTTATTTAAAATTTTATTTTAAGACGATAAGTATTTTGAGAAAAAGCACATTTTACTACAGCAAAAATCTTAAGCTTTTACGATATGAAATCTTTCAATTTCGCTTTTAATGATCATTATCTTAAAGGGATGAACTAGCTTTTATCTTAATGTTAAATACGAATTTAATTAGGTGCTCATTTTTAACTAAATACACTCAAATATTTTTTTAAAATACTAATTTCAATAAACAAATATTATTTGGTAATTTAATTACTTGAAATTCAGTGGTAATTATTAGTCCTATTTTACCTCATAATACTGTTAATTAAAATACTTAAAGTATCTATTATCCACAAGAAGATGGTTGTCAAATAATAGACAAACAGTATAGATTTTGTTTTTTAAGTTCCACTGCTGATGTCTTGTTAATTTACAAGAATCGGCGAGATAATAAAACCATTATAATCATTACGATCGCGTTTGATATTTCAAAGATTTTTGACGTGCTGTGGCATAGGAGCTTGCTACGCAAACTCTCCAGTCATGGCATATTTCGAGGAGCTTATGCGATTATTAAATCATTCCTATCGGATAGGTCAATTAAGGTTTTCGGTAATGGACAGTTTTCTGGAGTCCATGAGATCAACGAACTCATCCTTCAATGCTCTATTCTCAGTCCTGCTCTCCATAACACGCAAGCCGCTAGTGGCTCACAGATGGGTCGCCGATGGCAACACCAGCGGTCCTCAGGTAGCAACAACGTGCAAGCCACCGGCGAGACGAACATGCCGGCGGTCCGACAGCGAGCCACCAGCGGTAAATGCTAGCGGCATACCACTCAGTGGCAGGTTGGTGGTTTGCATGTAGGGCTCCTTCTACATTTTATGAGACAAACAGAGCATCTCTTGGTGTTCAGTGTCGTTTGACATGGGTTGTTTTAAATTTGCGTTTCGAGTGGGTCCTCATGAACAAGCAAAAACCTGCCAGGATGTTCTCAGTTTTTCAGATCGAAAATTCCACTTCCGAACAAATCGAACAATTTACGAACACTACTCTCAGTTATGGCACCATCTCTATAAACGGCACATATCTTTTTGCTGCATCTCTAAAACTCTAGATCAGGGGTTTTCAAACTGTGGTCGGCGGACCACAGGGGGTCCGCAAGGACAAGATAGGTGGGGCCGTGGACAGCAAACACTTTGTTATGGGTGACGTGCATCTTGTAAGCGCTTATAAGTAACTTATAGGCCGATCATGAAATAAATTAATTCAATAAACTATTTCATAGATTTGATATACTAATATAATTTGTATCTTAAATTGATAAAGATAATGGATTCTATTCATGCAGAGAAGGAACCAAAGGATTTGAATTTTGGATCTATTTTGCGATTTCCGTCTTTCTGTTAGGCGTTTGCATTAATACAAAATTATATGTTATATTCAGCAAATATTTATTGTATAAATTTCAAAAGCGTTTATAAGGGGGTCCCTAAGGTAAAGCCTGAAATATAAAGGGGTCCGCAAGTCAAAAAGTTTGAAAACCCCTGCTCTAGATGATCAGAGTTTGGCAAATGATCTTTCCACTAACAGCTTAACGGCGAGAAACTTTCTTGCAATTTTCAAGACCCTCAAATCCAAGCGAGTTACTTTCCATCATCATCGCGCAGATCCTGGTTAGTTTTTCCAGTCATGATGTATGGTCATGGTCTTAATGAGGTGTCTTGGCTTGAACGTCTACTGCGTCTCAACTACCCCCCCACACACACACCTCAGGTGGAACACATGCATCATTCATCATTGAAGTTGCTGGGAGAATGATTGGTCCTTGTACCATTTCAGAAAGTGCCTTACTCCGCCTGTCAGGTTCTATCTTTACGAAAGTCAAGATGGAGGAATATTTCTGTCGTATATGGGCTGGAGTTGTTCAATGCTCACTTCCCAGCCTTGGTAGTGTTCAAAAGCGTTTCTTCTTCTATAAGGTGACGTGTTCCTTCAGGACGTAGGTAATAATGGCCCTTCACATCTTCCTGTCCATTGTAACTCTTAATAAGTTTTTTGTTATTTCTCCCAAACCCTGTTGTACCACACATTTACTGAAGCCCATCAAGTATGTTACGCGCTGCTTTATCTGTTTCCCTTTCTCTCAAACTGTCTTGTGAGTATCAGATTTTCCAAACCGTCCTTCCTCATTACGTACGCCATGCATTTAAATTGTCTCTTAAGTTAACTACAAGTTTCCTTTTTGTTTCCATTTTTCTCTAAAACCTCGTCGTTGCCCTCGTCGTTGTTTATGGTATCCTCAGCATCTTTCTGTAGAACCACATTTCTGTTGCTTCAAGCCTCTTCTTCATCTTTGAGGAGATTGTCCAGTTTCCCCTGTGTTATACTAGAACATTACCTATTCTATTGTAATAGACTCTCCCACACATAATAAGTAGTAGTAGTAGTAGTAGTAGTAGTAGTAGCGGTCGCCAGTTGGGCTCAGTGGAGTTGAGTGAGTCAGTCGATGTCGGACATTGAAGTATCAACCATCATAACTAGATTGCTGCGTCATTAACTCTTATTTCAAGTTCCTAACATTTTGTACGTCGGGCCCTTTTAGGACAGACAGCGAAATACAAGCTTCCACTGTGAAAACTACTCTACAACACCCTGCTATATGGGAGGACAGATAGCACGTAACATTTTAATACTGTTTTCTTCGTTTCTAACGAAGTTTTAGAGTTTTTAATACTCTTCTTAGCTTTTGGAATGCATTTTTGGCCATCCCAATACGTCTTCGGCTCTCAGTGTCACATTTTTTGTCTTCTGTTAGAACACCTTCCCAGATATTAAAATTTTTGTATTCGTTTGATTTTAGTATCCCCGATTTGCATCTGCATTTCACTCTGTCAACTCATCGCTTGATTTTAAATTCAATCCCGTTTATCATGCGCTACATTCCTCTGTCCGTCTTTCCCTCAATCTGTCCTGTGAGTAGCAGTTTTTCCAAGCCTTCCATCCTCATTATTTGCACCAGAAATATCTGCTGCTTCTTTCATTTTGTTTCCATTTTCTCTAAAACCTCGTTGTTGCTCACATATTCGGTCCAATCATTATCTTTCTGTATTCTTCATCGCTGAGGAAATTGTCCAGCTGCCATACACGAGGACATATATCACGTAACAGTTCAGTACTGTTTTATTCGTTTCTAACGTAGTTTTACAGTCTTTTAATACTCGTAGCTTTTGGGATGCATTTTTGGTTATCCCAATATGTCTTCGGATGTCAGTGTCGCACTTTCCATCCTCTGTTAGAACAAATGTTATAATTTGTGTACATATTTGATTTTAGGATCACTGCCTGGCTTTATAGGCGATGGATTAATTTCTACTCTATAACCCCGAAAAAATGCAAGCCTATTGCTACTTTATCGCCATTTCTATGGAAATTGTTCACACACACGCTACAGGCTTTAGTTCCACATGCTTTAGCCAACTATTTCAAACCTTTGTAGTTAGAATCCACCATGACACGTATAAAGGCTCGAAACATCTTCATATTTTATTAATGAAAAGGAATTTCTATTCTTTAGGCTTCTCCCCGAGAACCATTATTTTGTGGAACAGAAAATGATAAAGAGGCTTTCTCAATCAATAAAATATTAACATCTTCAAGTTTAAAATTAACAATTATCTATCCTACATATACTAATGATAAGCACTTCCTTTTATATCCATACAACATTCTCATTTTTAACTCCCTACCTTGAGCGGCTCTTGGGCATTTTATTGGGTGAATACCTTAATGAAAAAAGACGGACAAAAATATGTATATACATGTTTTCGTACGTCCTTTTCTTATTAAAGTATACACCCAATAAAAAGTTCAAGAACTGCTCAGGGTATAGGGTTAAAAAGCATGTACATCATTTAATTTTAAGCAGTACAGAGTTAATTTAAAAAAAAAAAAGATCGTTACTTTCGTTAGGAACAAAAAAAAAATACAAATTTTTAAAAGAAAATATAAATCTTTAATTCATAAACAAATTTTTCTAAAGATTTTGATTTTTTTGTTTGATTGTCTTCTGTTTTTTTCTGTTTTTTTTTTAACAGAAAAGACTTTTGAATATTCAATTTCGCTTCGAAACAATCCGAGTTTGAAATACAACAGTTGAGTATTTAAAAAAAAAATTGGAAACAGACAATTAAGAAACGAAAAAAAAAATGATCAGTTTTAAGTTTGCATTCTGCTTGCAGCAGTCTGCTTTTCTGCAGGCGGCCACTGACAAAAAAGTCGTTTGGAATTAATTTTTTCTGATTATTTTTGGCGCTTTGCAGAAAACGTTACTGGGGGCATTTTTAGATTTGCGAGTAATGCGTTTCTCCTTAGATTGAACTAAAAAATAATTTTGTGTTGTCTGTGACCCGTTTTTATTTTATTTGCATTGTACTCGTATTTTGATTGCCCCAAAAAATAAAAATAAAAAAAATAAAGAAATGAAAAATACATAAAGAAAAGTACAATCGTACCAAAAAAGAGAATGACCGATGAATGACATTGAGAAGAAAGAAAGAAAGAAAGAAGGAAAGAAAGAAAGAAGGAAAGAAAGAAAGAAAGAAAGAAGGAAAGAAGGAAAGAAAGAAAGAAAGAAAGAAAGAAAGAAAGAAAGAAGGAAGTAGTTAATGAAAGGAGAGGTTAAAGAGGAAATAAAATGTGTGAAACTGAAGAGACAGAAAGAAAGAAAGAAAGAAGGAAAGAAAGAAGGAAAGAAAGAAAGAAAGAAAGAAAGAAGGAAGTAGTTAATGAAAGGAGAGGTTAAAGAGGAAATAAAATGTGTGAAACTGAAGAGACAGAAAGAAAGAAAGAAAGAAAGAAAGAAAGAAAGAAAGAAGGAAAGAAAGAAAGAAAGAAAGAAGGAAAGAAAGAAGGAAAGAAAGAAAGAAAGAAGTAGTTAATGAAAGGAAAGGTTAAAGAGGAAATAAAATGTGTGAAACTGAAGAGACAGAAAGAAAGAAAGAAGGAAAGAAAGAAAGAAAGAAAGAAAGAAAGAAGGAAAGAAAGAAAGAAAGAAAGAAAGAAAGAAAGAAAGAAGGAAAGAAAGAAAGAAAGAAAGTACAAATGGGAAATATGGAAGAAAGAGGGAAAAATAAACTTAAAAATGCAGATAGAAAAAAGGAACAAAGAGTAATGAATGTAAAGTTAAAAACGGAAATTACATACGCGAAAAGTGAAGAGAAAGAAAGAAAGAAAGAAAGAAAGAAAGAAAGAAAGAACGAAAGAAACGAAGGAAAGAAGGTAGAAAATAATGAAAGGAAGGTTAAAGAAGTAAATTAAATCTGTGAAAAGTGAAAAGAAAGAAATAAAGAAAGGGGGAAGAAAGGAAACGTTTATGAAAGATTTATTAAAGAAGGAAATTAAATATACGAAAAGTGAAGATAAAGAAAGAAAGAAAGAAAGAAAGAAAGAAAGAATAAGTAATGGAAGGGGGGTTAAAGAAGGAAATTAAATGCATGAAAAGTAAAGAAAATGAAATAAAAATTAATAAAAGAAAAAAAATTACATACGTGAAAAGTGGAAGGTAGAAAGAGTAAATAAGTAAGTAAAGAAGGAAAATTAAATGTCTGAAAATGAGTTTCTTTTTTTTTTCTTTATTTTCACTTTTCACACATTTAATTTCCTCCTTTCATAAACGTCCTTACTTCCTTCCTTACTTCATTTCTTCCTCCCTTTTTTCCTCTCTTCCTTTCTTTCTTTCATTCTTTCTTTCTCTTTACATTAATTTCCTTCTTTAATATTCCTTCCACTACTTACTCTTTCTTTCTTTCTTTCTTTCTTTCTTTCTTTCTTTCTTTCTTTCTTTATCTTCACTTTTCATATATTTAAATTCCTTCTTTAACGTTCCTTTCAATCCTTACACTTCTTTTCTTTCTCTTCACTTTTCAGGGATTTATTTTCCTTATTTAAACTTCCTTTAATTCCTTACACTTTCTTTCTTACTCTATCTTTTTCTCATACTTAAATTCCTTTCTTAACCTTCCTTTAATTACTTACTGTTTCTTTTTGTCTTTGTCTTTACTTATCACATTGAATGAAGGAAATTAAATGAGCGAAAAGTGAAGAGAAAGAAAGAGTAAGCCAGGCAAATTAGAAGAAGAAAGACAGAAATAAAGATTAATTAAGAAAATGAAATTAAGGATGGATATTAAGTGTGCGAAAAGTGGAAAGAAAGAAAGAAAGAAAGAGAGGAAGAAAAGGAGGAAGAAAGAAAGGAGGAACATTTAGGAAAGAAAGGTTACAGAAGGAAATTAAATATATGAAAGGTGAAGATAAAGAAAGAAAAACGAAAGAAAGAAAGAAAGAAAGAAAGAAAGAAAGAAAGAGTAAGTAATAGAAGTGGGGCTAAAGAAGGAAATTAAATGTATGAAAAGTAAAGAGAAAGAAAGAAAGATTAATAACAGAAAAGAAATTATATACGTGAAAAGTGAAATGAAAGAAAGTAACAAAGGAAGGAAGGAAGGTAGAAAGAGTAAATGAAGAAAGGAAGGTAAAAGAAGGAAATTAAATGTGTAAAAAGTGAAGATAAAGAAAGAAAAAAGAAAAAGAAAGAAAGAAGGAATGAAGGAAGGAAGTGGGGAAGGGTAAGAAATGAAAAAAACAGTTAAAGAAAGAAATTAAATGTATGAGAAGTAAAGATATAGAAAGATAAAGTAATGAAAGGAAGGTTAAAGAAGTAAATTAAATCTGTGAAAGTGAAGAGAAAGAAAGAAAGAAAGAAAGAAAGGAAGGAAGGAAGGAAAGAAGAGAGGAAGAAAGGGAAGAAGAACTGAAGGAAGAACTTTTAAGAAATGAAAGAAAAGTTAAAGAAGGAAATTAAATCTGTGAAAGGTGAAGATAAACAAAGAAAAAGAAAAGCAAAGAAAGGAAAGAAGGAAAGAAGAGAGGAAGGAAGGGAGGATTGAAGGGAGGAAGTGTAAGAAACGAAAAAAACAGATAAAGAAAGAAATTAAATATATGAAAAGTAAAGTTAAAGAACGAAAAACGAAAGAAAGAAAGAAAGAGTAAGTAATGGAAGGAGGGTTAAGAGAAGGAAATTAAATGTATGAAAAGTAAAGAGAAAGAAAGAAAGAATGAAAGAAAGAAAGAAAGAAAGAAAGAAAGAAAGGAAGGAAGAGAGGAAAAAAGGGAGGAAGAAAGGAAGGAAGGACGTTTATGAAAGAAGGAAATTAAATGTGTGAAAAGTGAAAATAAAGAAGAAAAAAGAAACTCATTTTTACACATTTAATTTCCTTATTTAACCTTCCTTTCTTTATTTACTCTTTCTACCTTCCTTCCTCCGTTACTTTCTTTCATTTCACTTTTCACGTATATAATTTCCTTTCTTTTATTAATCTTTCTTTCTTTCTCTTTACTTTTCATACATTTAATCTCCTTCTTTAGCCCCCCCCCCGTCCGTTATTTACTTTTTCTTTCTTTTTTCTTTCTTTATCTTCATTTTTCATATATTGAATATATTAAAAGTGAAAAGAAAGAAAGAAAGAAAGTGTAAGCAATGAAAGTTAAACAAGCAAGCAAGAAAGAAAGAAAGAAAGAAAGAGAGGAAGAAAGGGAGGAAGAAAGGAAGGAAGGACGTTTATGAAAGAAAGGTTAAAGTAGGAAATCAAATATATGAAAGGTGAAGATAAAAAAAGAAAAACGAAAGAAAGAAAGAAAGAACGTGTAAGTAAGAAAATGAAGGCTAATGATGGAAATTAAGTGTGCGAGAGGGAAAAGAAAGAAAGAAAGAAAGAAAGAAGAAAGAAAGAGTAAGCAATGAAAGTTAAAGAAAGAAAGAAAGAAAGAGTAAGCAATGAAAGTTAAAGAAAGAAAGAAAGAAAGAGTAAGCAATGAAAGTTAAAGAAAGAAAGAAAGAAAGAGTAAGCAATGAAAGTTAAAGAAAGAAAGAGAGAAAGAAAGAAAGAGTAAGCAATGAAAGTTAAAGAAAGAAAGAGAGAAAGAAAGAAAGAGTAAGCAATGAAAGTTAAAGAAAGAAAGAAAGAAAAATAAAGCTCTTAATAATGGAAAGATGAGTAAACGCTAAAGGCGAAAGAAAGAATGAAAAGTGAATAATTAAAAAGAAAAAAGTGAATGAAATTAATGAAAAGAAAGACAAAAGAAAAAAGTAATTTAGGGAAAAATGAACACGAATTAATAAATGAGACAAGTTGCCCCATTCGCGCAGTCTCGGTGTCAACTAAGCTTAATGAATATTTTGAGGGAATGTACTGTAGATCAGTGACTGGCAGGCGAATCACGCTCATGAATTCGCTATAATAGTAAGCTTATTCTTATATATATATATATATATATATATATATATATACATATATATATGTATGTATCTATGTATGTATTATTGCATTACTCCTGTAGAGAGGTCGATTCTCGCATTGAACCTGATTTAGAAGGGGTTACAGCAGCGATGAATGAAAGAGAAAAAAGAGTTACGAAAGAGTGTGAATAATGTAAAGAAGAGTAAAAGATAAATAATAGCACAAAGAAAGAAAAAAAAAAAGAAATATGGAAACGAAAGGTAAACGAAAGAAAAAAACTGAAGATACTGAAAATAAAATTGGAAGAAAGAGAAAAAGAAAGAGAGAAAGAAAGAAAGAAAGAAAGAAAGAAACAGAATGCCAAAATATTGAAAGGAAAGTGGAAGAAAGAGAGGTTAAAGAAAGAAAAAAGAAAGAAAAAGAAAGAAAGAAAGAAGGAAAGGAAGGAAGGAAGGAAGGAAGGAAGGAAGGAAGGAAGGAAGGAATGAAGGAGCGGAAATAATATTAAGAAGTGTAAAACTTAAATCAAAGAGAAAATAAAGAAAGATAAACGGAAATACTGGAAGGAAAATTGAAAAAGTGAAAAAAAAGGACAAGTGAAAGAAAGAAAAGTGGAAATATTGATCGGAAAAGTGTAGGAAAAAGACGAAAAGGAATGACTGAAAGAAAGAAAGAAAGAAAGAAAGAAAGAAAGAAAGAAAGAAAGAAAGAAAGAAAGAGTGTGCGAGAGAAAAAGAAAGAGAGAAAGAATGTAAAAATATTGAAACGAAAAATTGAAGAAAGAAAGAAAGAAAGAAAGAAAGAAAGAAAGAAAGAAAGAAAGAAAGAAAGAGTGTGTGAAAGAAGACGGCAGAGAAAAAGAAAGAAAGGGAAAGGATATACAGGAAAGAATTCTTTAAGAAAGAAAGGCAAACGAAAGAAAGAAAAAAAGAAAGAAAGAAAGAAAAAGAGAAAGAAAGAAACTGGAGACAGTGAAAATATAATTGGAAGAAAGAGAAAAAGAAGGAGAGAAAGAAAGAAACAGAAAGTGAAAATATTGAAGAAAGAGGATAACGAAAGAAAGAATGAAAGAAAGAAATTAAGAAAGAAATGTAAAATTTAAGAAAAGAAAAGCGGTTGATGAAAGTAAAGGACAAAAGAAAGAACGTAAGAAGACATGATTAATGGAAAGAAGGTGGAACGTTTCAAAGAAGAGATAATAGATAAAAAGAAAGAGAGAAAAAAAAGAAAGAAAGAAAAAAAGAAAGAGAGAAAAAAAAAAAAGAAAGCGTGTACATATTGAAAGAAACGTTGACAAAGGAATAAAAACGGATTGAATAAAAGGAGGATGAGAGAAAAAAAAGATAATAAAAGTAAAAGTTCGATTTATGACCAAATCTTACATCTCTGGATTAGCTTTGAATCAAAATCAACAAATACTCTAAATTTCGAGGCTTCTTCTGAAATGCCGGCTAAGGCCAACTCATTAATATTATTTCAACTTCAGATCGTAAATCTAGTTATTCGCTGTTCAACCTTCTGCCTATTAACACAGTCTCCACACTGTGTCTACTCATCTTGACGCCATATTTTATTGGAAATGATCTTCACTGGCACATTACAAGCGAATCTCCAACGATGTTTTCAAATGACACTTTTCAGAGCAAGCAAACCCAACCACTGAAAATTATCATTAACTGATCGTTCAAAAATCATAACCTTTTATTAGACGCGGTTCCTTTTTCTTCTATGTGACACGTCCTTTTAGAAAGTGAGCGATTGTTACTTGTCTGTTTTTGTTACACTAACCTGTGACGATTAACGAAGCCTCGTTTTCATTGTTAACCATCCATTTACAAAACTGATTAACCCATTAACTGCCAAATGTTTTTAATGCGCATTTTAGCCCAGACAGGTGTCTTAGGAGTTTATTTATTCCTTGTTTAATTTCAGTAGTTACCATTGTCGTTTTTATAGAAGCATCATATATGTGCATAAAACATAAAAAAATAATATTGATTAGAAATAATAAAAAAAAATACTTTCCAAAATAGTCATTATTTTTCTACTGGTGAAATGCAAAATTACGACAGAAAGTGTCTTCTTACGGCTAATAATAAAAACTTTAAAGGCTAAGGAATAACATGTAGTGAGTTTAATTTTAACAGATCCCCAAATGGGGCTCATGGCAGGTAATAGTTTAAGTAGATTAGTCACTGACACTCTCTACTTCTCTTGCATTCACTTATTTCCTGTAAGTATTAAATTCTCCACGCCTTCTTTCCTAACTATGTGTCCCAGATATTTCACCTATCACTTTTCTGATTGTAAGCATCAGTTTCATTATTTTCTTTATAAATTTAATTACATGTTATGTCTATGGCATTCTCAATAATCGTCAGTACACTGACCAAGGGGTTCTTTCTAAAACCACCACACAACACAAAATGCCTCAGGTGGCCTCATGACGTTGTCGATTGGACCCTTGATGGCTGACAACTTATGACGTGATCCGAACATTTGTGGCTTAATATATGCAAAATAATTCTTTGGCCATATCGTTACCCAAGAAATAAAACCCTGGGACGAAGCAGGTGACAAATTTTATTCAGTTGAAACCTTCTTGTAACAGCTAGCTGTAGGCGAGCATGAAAAATAAAGCGAGGTGAGGGAGAGAACGATACAACAGGCGTGTGCCTTCTTTTTCGCGTAGGGGCGAGCGGTCCTCTCTGGTTTAAATTGCTAGGGACGACTATCTTAGAAAGATACAGCCTTCTTTCTCCTGTCAACGTTCGTTTAGAAAAGTAATTCATCAAACATCTAGGGTTGTTACTCCGCTCCGCTCCACTCAGCTGGACTTCTTTGTCAGAGTCGTCTGACCAGTTTCTTGTGAGTTCCGCTCCACTCTGCTGACCTTCTTTATCAGGGTCGTCTGACCAGGTTCTTGTGAGTTCCGCTCCACTCAGCTGACCTTCTTTATCAGGGTCGTCTGACCAGGTTCTTGTGAGTTCCGCTCCACTCAGCTGACCCTCTTTATCAGGGTCGTCTGACAAGGTTCTTGTAAGTTCCGCTCCACTCAGCTGACCCTCTTTATCAGGGTCGTCTGACCAGGTTCTTGTGAGTTCCGCTCCACTCAGCTGACCCTCTTTATCAGAATCGTCTGACCAGGTTCTTGTGAGTTCCGTTCCACTCAGCTGACCCTCATTATCAGGGTCGTCTGACCAGGTTCTTGTGAGTTCCGCTCCACTCAGCTGGACTTCTTTATCAGGGTCGTCTGACAAGGTTCTTGTGAGTTCCGCTCCAATCACCTGGCCTTCTTTGTCAAGGCGATAGTTATCAAAACGATTCCCATAATATCCTGCAAATGTCGCAACAATATACCAGCTGGCAATTTATATGACTACACATTGGGACGTGGGCTATCATAGATCTCCACAACTTCCTGTCCTTTTTAGCGCTTAGTAAGCTTTGTCTGTTTGCTATCTCACCTAAACCCTGTTACTCAACATTTAAGATAGGTTATTCATTGCTTCGTTCTGTCCCTCCTGCCCCAGATATGCCTTGTGAGTATCAAATTTTCCGAGCACTCTTTCGATTCTGGTTGAATTCAAAACCGTAGAAAAGGCGATAGGAAACCACTCTTCTTTAGTTCCGAAGAATGCATATCAATTCACAGATATTGAAGGAAATGAATCCATGGTAAGTTATGATCTTGTATATCCTGAAGGGACTCGGCTTTAAACAAACATGGTTTTATTTATATCCGTGTCGATATAAGCAGCAGCAGCGGCAGCAGCAAATCTCGAATCTAGTTGATTGAGCATGCGTTAAAGTACATTAACATTTAGGTAAGCAACTTAGCCATTGATGCTGAATTATCTGTGCTTTATCTTCCAAATGGCGGACCTTGGAGTTTAAAATCAGCTTAGTTCTTTTTGAAGTATGAATACGCGATAACACGGGTCAGCTGGACGGCACCTGAGATAAAAATCGTATATAAAATGTTGTCAAAGCATTAATCATTTTTCATTTGGGTCGGGTGTAGCCGTTGGCGTTATTATTATTAGGTTGGGTTGGGTTTATTGAATCACAAGTTCTTTGAGAAAAGAGAGCAATCTCCCAGAAAAGACAAGACAATCTTGTGGAAACCGGTACCATTTTCTTCACATGTTGCTGATTAAATCTTTTTGCTGTTTTACATTTTTCTTATTTATCTTACATTTTTCATAGCATTTTTTTTTTTTTTTTTTTGGCTGGTGTATTTTCTTAAGTTTGTTTTTAGTGCTTGATGGCGGACAATTTTGGGGAAATATAAGGAATTTTATTCATTTACCTTTCTTATCAGAATATTTTATTGCCATTATTATTATTATTACTACTATTATTATTATTATTATTATTATTATTATTATTATTATTATTATTATTATTTATTTTTGCTATTGAACCGACATAACTTTGATGGCAGTGGAAAGGGAGGATCCTCAGACATCGAGCATAAATATTCAAATATTATTATTATTCGTATCGAACTGATTTAACAAAATACACGCGCATACCTCAGCATAAAAAGAAGGATATGGACACGAAAAGTATATTTACTACGCTCTGCTAAGTTTGACACAAGGCACAGGTAAGAAAAACTCAATAAAGATGCTTGCGCTTGTCGTATATCATAAGATTATAACGACATTATTATAGGACCTATTGTTATAACATACACTTTATACAGCGTACTTCGTATAAGGATTCTCTATACGTAATGTTTCGGCTACTTGCCGTGACGCCTGTGTAGCTAGTCTGAAGACTGACTCCAAACGATTGGTATTTAGCAAGTTACCCCACAAGGATGATGTGACACAAGATCGACATTACTGTGGGAAACCTGAGCGTTTCCACCCGATCCGTTGGTCAAAATTTACCCAGCCCCCAACAAAAGCGGCCTCGAGTGCATTGCTTGTCTGTTTTTCTTAGCCGAGTTTCCGCCCGTAGACAGAGCCTTCTGCCCGAAGATAGAGTTGCCATGAAATGATAGAACACCGACTGTTGATATCACTCCTTCACACGCAGACACGCTTCGCGCACATATACATATATATTATTTTTTCGATATTGAACACACTCCATGGTGTACTATACTCCAGGCCTGCTCATGGCGCAATTGAGAGCCAGAAATGGAGCCCTATAGAAGAATGTTTGATTTTCAGAAATTTTAAAAGACAATTCTGTTAACTATTTTTTAAAAATTCTTAGCATAATACTTTAACCTATACCTGAGGATAATAGGATGTGTTGAAAGTTAAATAAATGAAAATATGTATTTTTGTTGTGGGCACTGATAAGTATTAAACAAAACAATAAGGTAGTTAAGATTTCTGGTAAAAGATATGATCCCTATAATGTTGAAGCAGAAACATTCACACTATACGCAGGTCTCACCGAACGCATTATTCAATCTACCCACTAGTGTTGAATAAAGAGTCTGGTTTAAATTTCCATTAAAGTTACCAGGTTCAACATACAGTACCTGAAGAAGGGTGGATGGTTTCAGTCGATATATGTATATGACGACCAATTATCTCAGAAATATAGGCGTAGAAAACAAAATAAGTTTAGAAAAATTTTTAAATCTTTGAAACTGATTCTTTGTCTGATCTGGGTGTGTAATGTTTGCGAAAGTTTTTCAAATCTATATTTGCAAAAATACGAATACTTTCTCTCCATGTTGAAAAATGAAACTCAAAAATAAAAAAAAAGTTACTTAATGATTTAGAACACACATTTTCTTTATCTAAAAACCAATGTAGTTGAGAAAAAACTGTATTATCTGTCTATATTTCTGTGATGAGGTATTATGTACACTATTTACATTATTTGACTATTGTCCTCATCTTTGTCGCCATATTTATTACAACGTTTCGGCCTTTCAGTATCTGTCTATATTTCTGAGATGAGGTATTATGTACACTATTTACATTATTTGGACTATTGTCCTCATCTTTGTCGCCATATTTATTACAACGTTTCGGCCTTTCAGTATCTGTCTATATTTCTGAGATGAGGTATTATGTACACTATTTACATTATTCAAACTATTGTCCTCATCTTTGTCGCCATATTTATTACAACGTTTCGGCCTTTCAGTATCTGTCTATATTTCTGAGATGAGGTATTATGTACACTATTTACATTATTCAGACTATTGAGGTATTATATATATATTTAATGAAAAACAGACCACGTTAAAGTACCATTACAATAATTTATTTCACCAAAATCCTTTTTAAAGGATTCCGGATCATCAGGTAATACTTACAACTGTTTTTTTTTGTTTTTTTTTCCTCTCATTTCATTGTTGGAAGTGTTGCCTGATGATCCGGAATCCTTTAAAAGGATTTTGGTGAAATGAATTATTGTAATGGTACCTTAAAGTGGTCTGTTTTTCATTAAATATTAGCCCTGTTCTTCACATTGAGCTCTCAGGATTTCATCCTCCTTGGATTTACCAATTCGGTTTACCAAGTTCTTCTTAACTTAACTTATATATATATATATATATATATATATATATATATATATATATATATATATGTAGTGAATAAGATCGATAAGGAGTGTTTTGTTAATTTCCGTATTAATTTTTACTTGTTCCAACCAAAAAAAATTATTTCTGGTTCTTGTGCGAATAAGAATTGTCCATAGAATGCGATTGTAAAGTTTTCAACCATTCCCTGGTTATTTTGACGTTTGAAGAGTTCAAGAAAAAATGTCTGTATTATACTGTTCCATCGAAGCTTTTAATCAAAAGAACCAAAAATAAGAATTTTTGAACGAAAATAAGAAAAGTTAATCGTAAATTTAACGGTCGGTCCTTTTCAAGAAAACCTGTTTGCGATATCTATTATTCTCTCTCTCTCTCTCTCTCTCTCTCTCTATATATATATATATATATATATATATATATATATATATATATATATATAGATAGATAGATAGATAGATAGATAGATATATACAGGGTGTCCATAAAGTTCGTGTTCACTTTAAAAAATTTATAACTTTATTTGTATTTGCGATAGAAATAATCTGTAAAGAATGTTATAAAACAGTGTTTCAACAAGATGAAGCTCCTTGTCACTTTGCTCTGCGTGTTAGAGAGTTTCTAAATCAGGAATTTCCTAACAGATGGATCGGAAGGGGTGGACCATTTTATTGGCCTCCACGTTCGCCAGATTTGACTCCATTAGATTTTTTTTATGGGGACATGTGAAAACAATTGTGTATGCAACCAAACCTAGTTCATTGGAAGATTTGAAAGCTAAAATAACTAATGTGATTTCTGTAAATCAGTTGGCAAATGTTTTCCGTGAACTGCAAAATCGTATTACCCTTTGTATTGCTAATGATGGAGGACATGTGGAAACCTAAATAAAATTTCATTAAAAACTTAAAAAATATAGGTTTACTTCTTTCTAATCCTTTTACAAATTATTTCTATATTAAAATTTTTAAAGTGCACAAAACTTTATGGACACATTGTATACATATATATATATATATATATATATATATATATATATATATATATATATATATATATATACAGGTGTCCTGTATATATATATATATATATATATATATATATATATATATATCAAGTATGTGGTGCTGTTCAATTTACATTACATGAATCATTCATACAAAAAACAGATATTGAAGTTAATGATATAAATGGCGGGAATCCATCTTCGCAAACAAATTTAATAAATTACATTAACCCCGAACCTGTAGATGAATGTTATGATCCCTGTTTATAAATTCCAATTGCATAAGGTCTTTTTATTTTTTTACAAGCTTTCATTTGTGCATACAGACATCATCAGGTATGGAAATACATTTGTCTTTACATCCCGGTAATAACAGGACAACGAAAGAATAGATGTCATCCGAAATATGTTTTTATAAATGTGTTATTGTTAATGTAAGAAATTTTGGAGTGTGCGGTCACAACGCTGAGGTTGAATTTTTAATTTTTTTTTTTAAATTGTGCGTTTTTGTACTTATATGGTAATAGGAGAATTCTTTTGTACTGGTAGGTTTTTCAGTCAATGTGGCATGAACTAAATTATTCAATAAATAGAGGAACGTCACTGTCAATTAATAAACAGGGATCATAACATTCATCTACAGGTTCGGGGTTAATGTAATTTATTAAATTTGTTTGCGAAGATGTATTCTCGCCATTTATATCTTTAACTTCAATATCTGTTTTTATATGAATGATTCATGTAATATATATATATATGTATATATATATATATATGTATATATATATATATATATATACATACATACATACATACATATATATATATATACATACATATATATATATATATATATGGATAAAGACAAAAGGAAAACTTAACTTAGCCGTGTTGCAGTTTTTTGTGTATATGTATGTACTAGTGAGTTAGCCCAAATGACTTGACTCACTTTATAGTCCACCAATAGAAGGTTAACCAATCAGAAGACGTAGAACTTTCAATCCGTCGTGTATAAAGGTGGCCATTTTGTTCACTCTACCCGAATGTCCAGTCCAGCTTATCAGGCGAAGAGAAACAGAACGACGAACTATGCTCTGCTACTTTTACCAAAATATCTACGGCTAACCTGAACAACGCTTCCCTACTGTCTTCGAAATATTAACTGCTAACCTCTGGATTCTATACTCAAAGACGACCTTCATTATGAACAACAAGCCGACGCGTTTTTCGTCCGCTGATGGACTATATTTGCAAGATGGCTAGTCGCACACATACACATCTTATTTATTTGCTTTTATATCTTATTTTTTCTTTTTTGCAGTGATGTTCACCCTCTACAGGTCACGAGAGGCCCTCGAGATACAGTTTATGCGAATACATGCAAAAGATGACCCTAGACGTGATCAGGCTAAGATTATAGTCATCAAGGAAGCATCCTCTTGGGAGTCGGTTCCACATACCAACAGTCCGTGGGAAGAAGCTGCTCGAGTGGAAGTTACAGTTCACCAACGGATAGATAGATAGATAGATAGATAGATAGATAGATATCATCATCATCATCATGAAGGGGATAAGGGTGGTTCGCTAGAATGTGCATAGCCTGGCGAGTCTTAGCCCTGAAAGTGATATCTGGTAAAACTAAGGAATGTAATTCGTCCGAACACTTTCCCTGCGACTTTCCGTTTGTAAGAAAAGGTTTGTGAGATGGAACATTCGTAATATGTATCCACGATATTAACGTTGGAAGTAATATGTCTGCGATAATAACATTTGAAGTAGTAAAAATGTCGGAATATAAATAAAATCATTCTATATCTGTATAGAGCATGCGCGACCAGACCTCTCTATAACTTCTTATCCTACTTACCCCTCAGCAATATTTGTCTTTTTACTATCTTTCTCCCTCCTTGTTTTGCCATCTGTTCAGGCAAATTTCTTAGTAGGGTACTCGTTGCTTTTCCGCTGTCCCTCTTGCTGTCGGCGTACCTTGTTACTCTCAAATTTTCCAGGTTTTCTTTCCTATTTATGTGTCCGTGAAATTTCAGCTATCTCTTTCAGATTGTATGCATAATTGTCCTTTTTTTTTCTTAAAGCTTTACACATATTCTCAGCATCCTTCTGTAGAACCCGATCTCTACTACCGAAAGTCTCCTCTCCATCTTGAAGGAAATTGTCTGGCATTCAATTCAATATTGAAAGATTTGTGCGATATTGCAGTTTAGCACGCTTTACATTGTTTCTGCACGCATAATAAATTG